AGGATGATTGATTTTCCATAGGGGAAAAGATGTGCAAAGTGGGGGAGGGAAGCAAAGGAAGAGCCTATCATGTTCAAAAGGTCATGAGAAGAAGCAGAGCAGAAAAAAGCATTTGATCAAAGACAAGCTGCCAAATCTGTGTGCTGAGATATTGGCAGTTAAGTAAAAGATGCTTAAGATACCAACACCTACAGCTGCATTGCAATGGAAAACTGGAACTTAATTAATATAAAGTAAATGTCCATTTAATTTTACCTCTTTTAGACCACAAAATATATTTTAATTCATTGTTTTTCAGACTTTTCCATCTACATTTTCTTCTTTGATAGTTTCTCCAATTGTTCACAAAGAAACTCTGCATTTTATTCACTTGGTATTATAAAAAGGCAAAATAAAATAGTCTTTAGAAGATTTCAATACACATGGTTTGATATTCTTATATATACTGCATAATAAGTAGAAATAGTTTGGGGAGGGGGCTCCCCTATACAAAATGAAATAAATCCTAAAAGCATTTTATAAATTTCAGCCAGAAAAATGGAAGTAAATACAATAAGTTTGCCTACTTCTTGGGGAGGAATCATTCTTCATCAGAATGTCCCACAGAGAGATTTTTGGTATTTCCAGTTCAAGGAATCAAATAAAGAATCTGAAAGAGGCATATAAAACCAGATAGAAATAGTGAGATGAATGGGGAAATATTCAAATATCACAATGAAGCCTATGAACAGGAAGCTAGGGTGCTTTATGCTGCTCATGATTTTTAAAATATTGCTACAAAATAATACTTATTGAAATGGCTATGAAGTCACACAGATATTTCTAGATTTTTGGTTTTTTAACAAAGTTTAGTAGCTGCCTCCTAGTATTTGGAAGTATGCCCATCTATCTCCTCACTCTAGGATACTAGCAAATTGGAGCAGCATAGAACTTTCTCTTATGAAAAATAGTCATTTTGTGATAGGTCATTCCTCTAAAACAGTGGTTCTCAACCTTTCTAATGCCATGACCCCATAATACAGTTCCCCATGTTGTGGTGACCCCCAAGTGGGTGTGGCCACCAATAAGAGGGAGTAGGACAGCTAGGGAAAAGGGAACAAAATGGTGGACAGCATGGTTTGGCGACCCCCATGAAATGGTCGTTCGACCCCAAATGGGGTCCCGACCCACAGGTTGAGAACCACTGCTCTAAAAGAAAGAATCTCAGAACATGGTCCCAAAATTCAGAATGTTCCTCTTTTTCTGCTCTTATCCTATATAGAACATTATTTACGTTCTATATTTCTCTCTTGAGCATTATATGTTAAATATTTTTGATAATTTTAAAAACATATTTTATAGCTGAAAGAAAATTAAGGCTAGAAGATTATACATGCTTACTGAGATTATGTCTATTTCACTAATTGGGACTTACTTCTTGATTAAGATGAGCAGAACAATATACTGTATGCTTTTTCTATAATAAATAGAAACATGCACATCTTAGTTATGGCCAGCAAAGCAAGAACATTCAGTTCTGATGTTTAAAGTATTATGAATTTGGTTAACTGGAGCAATTAATTGTTTATGAAATAGTATTATTTCATAAGTCTGTGGCTTGTTGGGAGAGCGTGGGAAGCTTTATTTGTCCACGTGCACAATATAGGTTGCACATATAAAACCATCTCCCCTCCATCACTGCTGCTGGTCCGTGGAGCCAGAAAGATTGGGGACCAGTTTTATAAATTAATGTAATCAAAACTGATGATTAAAGATACCTAACTGTTTTAAAAATAATGTTGTTCATCTAGGCCAGAGGTCCCCAACCTTTTGGGCATCAGGGACCAGTTCCATGGAGAAAGTTTTTCCACAGACAGAGAGTACATGGTTTTGTGTGCTGCCTGCATCCCACGGATGGGGCTTTGCTTGTTTGTGCAAACCCATTGCTGGCATGCCGCACACAGCACAGGTCCATGGATCAGGGGTTAGGGACCCTATCTAGGCTCTAACAAGATAGTATATTAATCCTTACAGAAAAAGCTTTCATACACCAAAGTAATCCCATTTAATTTAGTCTTCCCAGTATGTAAGTGATGGGTTATTATTGAATAAATGTCTGTTTAAATAATGGAACATGTAGCAGTTCAATTTGGAACATGATCCTTCCCAAATTTGTCAACCTTCTTTCTCCTTTTATTCATGTTTTGGACTCACATTTAAATACTAAATACTAAGTCTTTATTATTTCCTATTTGTTGTCTGTAACATTCTAATACTGCTTATTTATCTGTGGAGTTTTTTCAACCTGTAAAATTCAGATAATTTACAGACATAAGAGTTCCTTGTATGTGTCTCTTCTGGATTTGTGTTCCAAGTTATTTGTGAGGATGGGTGGAGTAGGAAGATATTGTGTAAAAAAGAAAAAGGTTATCTGGCTGTCCACCCTTGCTGATCTGGAGGGAAAAAAAGGTCTTGGAGGACTTTCCACTTGAGATTCAATGGAATGTGCAGTCAGCACTGCTGCAGACCATTGAACAAAAAAAGTGTATGCCCCCTCCCGCAATTATATAGTAAGGAAGGTAAAAGCTGGAATTCTATACTTTTCCACTGAGATTGCCAGGTATTTTTCCCCTTTAATCACAAATCCCCCTTACATTGTGGAAAGCATCTTCATTAATTTAAAAGCCATTTATTTCACATTAACACCAGCCCTCAGTTAAGTTACCATGTTTCAGTCATCAATATTACATGGAACTGAGAAATCATACTTTTTTTCCCCACAATGGACTATAATCTCACAGTTATGGTGAAGATGATATATAGTTCATTCAAGTGTTTTCACAGAGCTTTACTTCCAACTGATTGGATTCTGCTCATTCTGAAGTTTTAAACCCATGGTAACAATAAAAATATAAACTCTGGGCCATTTTAGATGGCGGCCAACAGCATTCCTTTGGCAGGAAAATGTCTACATTCCATATTTAGTATTTTAATGCAAAAATCCCAAATCAAACCTCTAACTCATGCTTGTGAGCACCCAGTGTTGACAATGTGAAGTAACAGACTAAAATAGTTTTTAGTCTGATCCAGCTGAGCTTTTTTCTTCTGTAAAAGAGAACATTCAATATTTATCCTATAAAAGTATCTATGTTAGATTTTTTAAAGATTTTTTTTATTCTGCCTATATTATTTTTATAAAAAAGTCAAAACAGTGAAAATACTTTCCTCCTATTTTTCCTAGAACAATCCTGTTGTAGGATTGTTGTGAGTTGGGCTAAGAGTAAGTGACTGGCCCAGTCACCTAGCTGGCATGACTGATTTATACTCTCTTCCTTTTCTTAAGCTTTCTGACCAATTATGAATGTTACATCATACACTAACATGCAAGGTTTAACCTGATTTACTTATACACAGACACATGCAGATTGGAAAGAAGGGAATTTCCCTGTCTTTAAACAGTGAATATCTTCCTTGGTATTCTTATTTATATTGACCACTAAGATAACAGTATATATCTATGTTCAAAATAGAGTAATTTTTTACTCTGATTTGTTTTACAATCCAATTATTTGTTTCCTGGGCTATCCATGACATTCTCAGAAGTCTTCTCCAATACAAAATTTTAAAAGTATCAATATTATTTCTGGGGGGGGGGGACCACTGCTTGCACAATTCTGATATAGTGCATAATTACCATCAAAGTGCAATGGCCTATAAATTCAACTTCTGATAAAAGTTCGGACTGCACAATTGAATCTATTGCTATGTATACCTGATGAATCTCAAAGGACAAAACCGATTGCATATAGTCTCCTAGAAGTCACCTGAAAGAAGTGAATTCTTTTCATTTTTGTATCAAAATGATTCAAAATACCCACAGTACAAGTATTCCTATATATGATTCAAATTATGGGTCATAGTATTTTAAGTTCTTAGTGCATGAGCTCCTAAGTGGCTATATAGTCTTTTTTAAACATTTAATGAAGGGATGTCCACCTGTCTTCCAAAACACTTGGCAGGAAAGAATTACCTAACATTTAAGTTAAATATATTTTGTTTTTTAAACCCATTAATTACTGTCCTGTCTTCAAGAATTGTAATAAATGTATACCTTCATCTATGTGATAATTTATCAAACCATTAAAAATTATGTTATTGCCATCAATTATCTTTCCTCAGAACCAGAATCTCAATTCCTTCAATCTTTCACTAAAAAATAGATGGAAATTTCTGTTATTATGAATACTTTTCAAAAGTATTCGTAATAACAGAATACTTTTCAAAGACTATTATTTCTTTTCAAACTGGTGGCCATATTAGAAATTTGAGAAGTTATGAGGATTTTCATAAAATAGCAATTGAAATGGCATGACTACCAAAGAACATAACTATCTACAAAATCTCAATTTAACAAGGTTCTAAGTTGCCTCCTTTTAATAGTATAAAAAACCATTCAAGGACCTTTCTTATTGTACGAACTTAACTTTGTCATTTTCTTGTAGTAATGGAAACTTTTAAACAAAGCCCACAATACAGCCTTCCACTCTTTTTATTTTTAAATAAAGCTTATGGATCTATTAAGCCTCGAACCATCCTTGTATATAATGATATTTGGATCTGGAACTTTGTTTCTAATGTGCCAGTTTACTTGCTTATTTATTCATAAGGTGATGAGAGAATCTAGTGGCATCCAAATGACCAGATATGCTGAAGTTCAAAGCACCAAATTAGAAACCCGCAGTCTCACTCCTAATGTATATACTTCTTTAAGAGATCAATTTCTCCTTCACCATGTTGGCATAAAAGAAGCCTTGAAAGATACTGGGATCTTAACACAGATTACAAATACGTTCTCAAATAGTAATTTTTCAGATAGATCCTTTAACATTACTCTGGAAAAAACATTCTTAAAACTAAATATATAGCTCAGAGGAAGAACTTAATTTAGGGCTTGGACTTTTTCCCCCTAAACCTTTAAAAATACTAACAATTGCTAGTTAAAGGCTAGACAAAAACATAAATGTCTTTTCTCATATTATTTATTATTTTTAGGCATTACTGAAGTCCAGCATCTACAATGGAATTTTCAGACATCAATTAGAGATGCTAAAATGCAATAAAAATGTCAAAATATTACTGATAGAAGAGTTCCAAATACAGGTAAGGCACATTGGTATTATTCAGACTTTCTCACTCTTTTCTCTTCTTTTTAGCTTTAGCTTTTGACAAACCAGGGAGTCCATTTTCCTCCTCAAAAAGTTTTCTTTTCTTTTTCTTAGATTTACCATGATCACTATGGTAACCACTTGAGTCACTGGCATGCATTCCCACCTCTGCTCCATCTTGCCCATTCTCTCTTTCGGGCTTATCAAATATATTATTATCATCTTCATCATCACCATTATGCATTTCTCTGTCTTCTATCCCAACACTTGATATATCAACTTCCATCTCCTCTGAGCCATTATGTACATCACAATGTTTTTCATATTTTTTCTTGCACTTTTCCTTCAGCATCTCTTCTCCAAGACTAAAAATAAAAAAATAACTGAGAAAACAACTTTTACAAGACTAGTAAATACCCGCAGTTATATAGAAGCAAAACACCGTGTAGTTTATTCAAAGTGATTCTTACTTGACTGGTTTCAGTTGTAAACTGAATCTTTATATTTATCTTTTAATTGGGTTATCCTGACATATCCTTTAAACGGAAGACAGAAGTGCTAGCAGAAACAGACATTTTGAAGCACAAACCATTATTATTATTGATAGTATTTTTTCCACATTTATTTTTCAAATTCTGAGAGCTCTCACATACTTTTCCATTAAACTTTTGAAAAATAAGTGACATCTTAAGATTTTAGTGATATGCTATATAATCTCAAGCTTTACATTCTATAAATCAAGCCACTCTATCTATTTTGTAAAAAATATGTATTACCTGTTTTTACACAGCTTTCCTCGGATGCAGAAAACTCCAGCAGCGTCTGAATCAAAATGCAGCACCTTAAATACCAACCTATTACCTATTTGAAAACCAAAGTTTTTCCAATCTTCTGTTGATATGTGATCTGGTTTGGGTATAGAAGCATTGAAACATTCATGAACCAGACAGCCAATATGGCTAGGTGCCACTTTATTAATTATACCCTGGGGAAGAAAAGGAAAAAAAGAAATGTTAGCACCACATCACATGTTTTGGGTAAACCTATACTGTTGTTTCTGTCAATATTCAGCACAGGTACATACCAAGTACAGTGGTACCACGGTACTCAACATTAATTGGTTCTGAGAGCCATGACGGGTACTAAAACATACAAATGCCAAACAGATGACTTACCACATGACCCTTTGTTTTGGCCATCCCCCTCTTCATTTTGCAACAACTTTCCCAGTATGGACGACTTCCTGTCTGCTCTTTGTGGCTGTCCCTGTCTTCTTTTTTGCAGCGCACAGAAACTATGAGTACCGGGACAATATTTTCGCATCAAAATGCATTATCACATTTGATGAGTTTTGAAGCAGTCGAATACCGAGGTACCACTGTATATGGAACTAGGGTGTATTCTTACATATTTTGAATACTAAATATACATAAACAAATTGTTTTTAATTTTTTAGGAGTTAGCTGGTTCAATATCCTTTTAACCTGAGTTGGTCAGAATCTAGTTCTGTTTTTGCTCAGTTGATTGACATTGCAGAAACTCTAAACTATTTTTCTGTAACAGATCAATAGTGGAACTAATTTCTAAAAGTTACCAACCAGAGTATGTCACAAAAGTTTTGAATAGGATCATTTGATATTGTTTTAAAACATTTAAAAAGATATTGTTCATATAAAACAATTAATTACAATGTTGGTTTTAGCCCATTACTCCTATGATTAATTAAAGAACCATACTTGAAAAGGATCAAAGATTGTAAATATTAACATCATAACTTAATAACCACAAATTATAAAATGTAAACATGCCTAAATATAATCTACTGTAATAAAAATAAAAAATATATTATAGAAAAATCTAAGATATACTCTCTGTCTACACACACACACACACTTTACAGGAGACTGTAAGCTCTTGATCTTCCTTAGACATGAAAAAAACCTGAGTGATTTTGGGCCAATCACTTTTTCTAAGCCCTGTGGTTCTCAACCTTTTTAATGCCGCGACCCCCAACCGGTTGTAAGTCGAGGACTACCCAACCAGTTGTAAGTTGAGGACTACCCAACCAGTCGTAAGTCGAAGACTTTCCCTGCCCGGAAGTGCTGCGCATGCGTGGCGCCGGCCGAGGCGTAGCTGGCAAGCGGCAGAGACGGAGCAGGCCGACCACCAGCTGGGCCACCAGCTGGCCCAGCTCAAGGGAGGTAAGGCACCTGCTGGGCCCCACGTGCGCCAGCAACCCTCCCTGCATCCGCCGGCCTCCCATCTCCCACCCCTGGCCCTCTTTTACTTACATTTTTAGTAGTTGCTCAGCAGGGAAGGGTGAAAACTTCCAGACACCTCGCCTTTGCTGCAGACAACTTGCAGCACCGTTTGCAGACTGGGGCTTTTGGCAGGCTCAGCAGGGCAGAGACAGCCTGGACAATTCCTATTGGCTTTTGAAAGCCAATAGAATTAGACTCTATTCAAGAGAGTCTATTCTATTGGCTTTCAAAAGCCAATAGAATAAAAGGGAGTAGCACAGCTAAGGAAAAGGCGAAAAAAATGGCGGACTGCATTGTTTGGCGACCCCCGTGAAATGATCGTTCGACCCCAAATGGGGTCGCGACCCACAGGTTGAGAACCGCTGTCTTAGCCCAACCCACCTTTTATGGTTACTGTTATGGGGAAAATTAGAAGAATTGGGTATTTCCACCATCTTGACATTTCATTCATTCATTCGTTCACACATACAATCACAGCACACACAAACACACAAAGGTAGAATAGAGTAGGATAGAATAGTAATAACATTAATGGTATACTGAGGACTGGTCAAATTATTTTTTTTACTTTTAATTATACCATGGATGCTTTAATGTTTTCTTGACTGATTGTAAACTACTATTTATTGTTGATATCATTATTATGGCAGGATAAATCCAATAAATAATTAAATAAGCAAATGAATTTACTATGTAAGTTGAGATGAGAACTGTATGAACAAAAGTATTGAGTTATACATACCACAAGTTTTTTCCCTGGTTTAGGCTGAAAAACAACAAAAGTAGCTTCTATATCCAGATGGATGGCCCCAATGTCATCAATTATATCACCCAGTTCTTTAGTTATTTTAATATCATCATAAGCCACAGGAACACCTTGAAAACTATAAGATAAAATAAAATAAATTACTTAACAATATAACCTTAAGTGCACCTATGGTCTAGAAGAAACACTTGTAATTATAATCCTTACCATGACAAAGCAGCTATAAGCAATTCAAATAGAAAGTTACACAAATACATGATTTTATGATTCTGAGAAAAATGTCAGTTAGGAGGCCCCCTAATAGTGTGCAACATAACAGATGACTACACCATTTCTTTATAAATTACTTAAAAATATACTGATTGAAAATAAATTTGTTCTGCAGGTTCCTCACATAATTCTTAAGCTGTTATACAAATTCCTTAATTAAAATGTTAATTACAAATTATTACAGATGGAAAGTATCAAGGAGGGCACAGTTGAGGTAACTGCTTAAATAAAAGCCACAGGATTAATTTAAGAAAGAGAGTATAACATTCCCTACTTGTGTGAACATTATGTGTTCATTATCTCCTCTGTTAGCTACAAAATAAACTTGGATGGAAATTGCTTTTGTTCCATTTTATAAACGTTAATTGCAAATAAATGATAATTTCCCCCTATTTACCTCATGTTGGCTACCCAGACCTTAATCTTTGAAGCTCCTTAAAGTCATAAACCAAGATATCCAATAAAGGCTTAATGGATATTATTGGAAGAAGGATCTTCTTAGCAATGGAATGTTCTTTCTACCCAAAGAGATTCATATTAGTTACAAATGAGATAACAAAATTGTCACTCTATCAAAAATGATTCATTCAATTAATCCTTTAATTTTGGTTTTATATTTCTTAAAAATATATTTGTGGCATGGTTTCTGTATGTTTCACAGCAATGCACTGTTTAGATGTGAGCAAACACAAACTACAAGGACAAAAAGATACAGAAATACAGTGAATGATGTTTATGCAAGTCAATCCTTTAATTTTTTCTTGGGGGGGCGAATATTTCTGAATTATTTTCTGTATTCTTTATAAAAGGGGTCTTCAAACTTGGCCCTATTATGACTTGTGGACTTCAATTCCCAGAATTCCTCAGCCAGCGAAGACCCCTGCTTTGTAAGATACTACCCTGAAAAGGAATAGCATGACGGGCAGGTCTATATTAAAAGATTGATTTTACTTGAAAGGGATGACACAGCAAGTCTGGGGCAGGCTACAAACTTTCTAATATAATGAAAATGGCAGGGGAAAGAGGTGGAGCGTATTTTCTAACTGCCTTTTGTGAGGAAAATTTCAGGTTGCCCGAAATATATTTTGAACTAGGATTCTCGGAAGCTCTATTCAGTTTTGGAATTGGAGAATAAGACTAAGGGGAAAACTATGGAACAACTTCTAAAAAGTTCATCGAACTATTTGCTTTCTCACCAGTTTGTTTTCTAGAGCCTGGAGTATTTAAACGGAATATTTTTACACGCAATAATGGCACATACCTATCTGAGTAACGGCGCAGTTCAGCATCTAACTGCGCGCAAATCCCGGTCCGTTTGCGATTCAGGAAGCGCGGCGGGAGCGCGATATGCCTCCGATGCGACACCACCACAAGACAAGAGTAGCGGTTCTCCGCCAGTGCTCGCGCAGTCTCAAAAGAAGGCAGCTCGACGCAGGTGGGAAGGGGCGCCGGAGCAGAAGGCGCCGCCGCTGTTGAGGTCACAACAGCCGCCTCAATCTCCGCCACGCCAAAAGACGATCCAGCCGCCATCTCCGCCATGGCATCCCGAAAAGACTGCGTCGCTATATGTCCCAAGGTCCCCTTTCCCTGCTGTCACTTAGTGATGACGTTCTCACCATAAAATTGAATATTTTGCTCGGACTAACCTATCAAATGGCTGGAAGTAGAAAAGGGACTCTTCCCTTTCCGGATGTGGTTTAGTGGCCATTTTGTGTGCGGCTTTGCTTACCTACCATCGCTGTGCCTGTGTGAGAGTAGGGACATCCGGTTCCTGAAAGCCGATGGAGTTTCTAAACCTGAGGGCGGCGCTCCAACAGCGGTACTACAGTATCCCTGTTACGAGTCCGGGAGAATTTCTTCGGAAATGGGTCTCAGGCAAAGGCGGCAAGATGGGAAAATCGTTGAGACCACTGTATATAACCACTGGTACACGAAGCCAGTAATCTAGATAGCTCACAGGATGAGCACTGGAATTTTATTAAAGGTTTTAAAACTTACAACATATAATAATAGGATTTTACATGAAAAGTTATAAAATTTTATATGGAAATCTATTTGTGCCAGGATTCTTTACTAGAGGGACCGGTGGTCTGGTTTACTGATTTATTACCAGTGCTTAAATTGTTTCAATCTGGATGGTTAACAATTGGTTATGTGCCATCAAGTTGTTTTTGACTCTTAGCAGTGACATAGACAGTTTTATTCACCTTTGCTTTTTCAGATACTTTGAAATAAAATAAAATAAAAATATTTATATTTGCAGTTGTTTTTTCTTCAGGAGTACTCGTGGAGTTGGGGTGGAACAGGAGACAATGAAAAAGGTATAACATTTCATAAGAGTCCTTTTTGGCCATTGTAATAATTTGGATACTTTGAATGTCATCACACTTTACTTAAAGCAGCCATTTCATTTAACCTGTTATAAGCCCATTTCAGATATCCAACAAAAGGGATATCCTGTGCTTCTCAAAACGTACTGAGCTTTAACTATTAGTATTCTCAAACAACCAGTACCTATAGCAAAATATTGGGGTTAAAAAGATGTTCAAACAAAAACCATATCAGCATTTTAGGCTTAAAGTTACAGGGTTTGCAAGGACATGTGAGAATGGATATAAATACAGATAATTTTTAAGAGGCAATATTTACATTGAAATGGAAGTGTGCTGGTCACATAGCAAGAACTGATGGCAGATGGACCAAGGCAGTCATAGAATGGATCCCACTTGATAAAGAGTGCCCACAAAAGAGACCTAAAACAAGATGGATTGACAACATCAGCAAGTATTGCTGGTCCAGTTGGGGGAAAAAAATGCTCAGGACCATATTAATTGAAAACAGGTGAGGCCTTCAGCCTGCATTGGATGGAGAATGGCTAAAATGATTGTGATGAGTTACATTAAGTATTTCAACTAAAATTACTTTTTAAATCAATTATCATCCAGATTTTCAAGAACTGGAAGGTGCAAATGAACAAGCACTAATTTATAATCCTCTGATTATATTTATGTAAACTTTAACATACATTTAGTATTCACTTACAGATTACTTTTTTTTATTCCTCTCCCAATTAAATATTCTTTGCACTGTTTTGAAGCTTCCATTCTTCAAATTTGACTGTATGGATGAAACAAATACTTCTATTTCCTTTTTGTAATAAATGCAAGATTGGAATATTTGAATTGTTCATCTCTTTTTCTTAATTTAAACTTCTCTAATCTTTTGTGGATAGTTAGATGAAATAAAACCTTCATTAAGTAAACAGCTGTAATTTAAGAAGATGTCACTGGGTGGCACACTTGACCCTTGGATGGATATTCAGTTCTTAAAAATCAGTAAACCATTTTTCACCATAATATCAAATTGTTCAATTCCGCAGTTCTGGAGAATGTCTACTAAATTCTGGAGGTAAATATCTTCAAATGATTCTAATTAGGGTTTGTAGTCTAGGGTTTCAGAGAACAAAGATTTCTTAAGAAAATTGCATCACCTTCATCTTATTCACTTGTGTTGATAATAATAGCATTTGGCAAGGCAAAGTTAACATCCTAAAATAACTTTTTAAATATTGTATATTGGGCAGTCTGCAAACCATTTTCATTAGCATTTGGACACTGAAAGCCTCTGAAATGTTATGCTTACTTATAAATATATTTCATAATCTGCAAGTTTATTTTTCTATTTGAAAATGATTCACATTTGTGCTTTCATCAACTCTCTCAATGTATTTATACTTATCTAATGCACAAATGTTATGTGTCTAGAAGAAAAATCCATTTATTCTAATTGTTCTTCAAATAAATCTTAATTTATTCAGAAGTTTTACATCCTTCATTCTTATCACCATAATATTGAGTTTGGATTGTATAACAATAATAAAAAATCCACTAAATATTAACAACTTTATACCTATTAAAAACTTTTAAGTGGGCATAAAGATTTCAGTTTTAAACACAAAAGTAAAGGTTATCTGTCCAGTCATGAAGGAAGTGGTGCTCTTCTCCATTTCTTAGCCAAGAAACCCAGTTGTTCAAAGACACTTATATGGTCATATGGCCAACATGACTACATTCTGACGCTCACAGAACACTGAAGTTGTATTTACCGTTGTTTCCCAAAAATAAGACCCAGTCTTATTTTTATTTTATTTTTTGCTTCCAGAAGAGACACCACATCTTATTTTCAGGAGGAGGGGTGTCTTTTCCACTCATTTCAGGCACTGACAGCCTTGCCCAGCCGGCCCGCTTCTGGGGCTGAAGGAGCACTTTCATTCTGCAGCTGATAATGGAGCTCCAGCCTCCATTCTACAGTCAAAGGCCTTTCTGGAAGGCCACTGCAGCTGAGAACCGAGCTATGGATTCAGTCCATAGCTCAGTTCTTGGCTGCAGAGGTTTGCAGAACCAAGCTATAGATTGAATCCATAGCTTGGTTCTCAGCTGCAGAGGCCTTCCCGAAAGGCCTCTAACTGCAAAATGCAGGCCTGGGGACACCAGAGAAGTGGGCCAGTGAAGAGAGGCCTAGCTGCAAGATAAGTGGGTGTTGGCCGTGTGGGGCAGCTCCACTCCCCCACCCTAGCTTGATTTTTAGGTATGTGCCTTGCCCCAAAACCAGGGCTTATTTTGGGGGTAGGGCTTATATTAGGCCTGCTCCCCAAAATCAAGCTAAGGCTTATTTTGGGGTAGGTCATACTTTTGGGAAAGCACAGTATTTATCTATTTGCATTTACATGCTTTAGAACTGGTAGGTGGATAAGAACTGAGGCAAGTAATGGGAGCTCATCCCATTTTTAAGCTTTTAAAGTGGGTATAAATAACATATAAAATTACCACACCTTCTTGCTGGAGTAAAAGAAATGTTTATGTGCAATGGAAAGCCAAGAATCTTCAGTAGCGAGGAGTTTTTTGTGTTAAATATAGTTACAAAGACATTCTTTTGTGTTCCAGTGAACATATCTATATCCCCATAGATGAAAAGTAGACCACCCTTGCAAATCTCAAATATTCATTTTATTAAGTCTTCTGTAATTACAGTATTTAAATATCTCATTATACTATTATTTATTTATTTATTTATTTATGAGACTTATATACCGCTTTAAGTGCAAGCACTCTCTAAGCGGTGTACACCAGTAAGCAATGTATATATATATTTACATTGCCCCCAACAATCTGGGTCCTCATTTTACCTACCCCGGAAGGATGGAAGGCTGAGTCAACCTTGAGCCGGTGAGATTTGAACCGCTGACCTGCTGAACACAGTCAGCTAAAGTGGCCTGCAGTACTGCACTCTAACTGCTGCACCACCTCGGCTCCTCAGATGAATGCCTAATGTATATAATAAATTCACAATCTTTAAATATAAAATTATAATTTTATAATATAAATAGCAGTAATTGAAGAATATAAAGAAAGAGATTATACAAATTGGGACCGATAATTTCATTATTAAGCAAAGTGGTCACTAAGTGAAATTGACTTGAGTATGATTTTACTTCAGCTTTTGTTTGCTTCACAGCAAGGATTGGTTATAAAATTACTTTTGTATCATCATCATAATTGCAAATGCAGTTGCTAAATGAGGATTGCCAGTACTCAAAGCTATGTCTTGATTTAAGTACTGTGGTGGAGTATATAGATGAATCATTTCTGAGTTGAAACTGATCTGACTAGCAACTGGACTGAAGAACTAACTGGAAGACTCTGTGAAAGGGTACCATCTAAGTTAGAAGTTATATTGCCACATGATCAATTCCAGAAGCACTAACAAAGTTTTGTTTTGTTCTTTAAAAATTTATTTTTTAAGGAATAGAAACAATCATTCCACATCATTGTTGAGAAACTATTATCTGCCTTCCTCTATGAAAGATATTTTTCCTGCTAAAGCACAAAGTCATCTAGCAATAGTACTGTAATCAGTCTATTGTAACAAAACATCTAAATTTGTTCTCAGCAAGATTCAGTGACAAAATTATTTTTTTATTCTTTCCTGAAATATACCACCTCTAATCCTCTCCAGCCAAAGTGTGCTGATTGGGTGTGATGGGAATTGTAGTCAAATGCACTAAATACCTATAATATAATCTGCAACATTAATATATCAATAAACTTTCTTTCTCTTCTATTTATCAACACATTTCAACTAGTTTTATTTCTCTTGGCAAATATAATTTATTTATGGCTTTGTTCTGAACTAAAATAAATTTATTGTGACATAGTATGAGATTGTTCCATCACATATCTAGTGTTAGGAACCTCATGGGATTTCTATCCAGTTTAACGGAATAAAGGAAGTTTGGATAAACTTTTAGATAAAGAGAAATTTGTTCCAAAGCAGCTTGTGACACATTCTATCCATGTCAATATTTCTCATGTCTTCACACAAAGAAACTGCAGCCACTTTGTGGAAACAATTCATAGGAGAAGGATCACAGATTAAATGCTCATATTTAAACCGTGGTTAAAGAAACTTGTGGATTACTGAATAAATCACATCTGGATTTCATACCTTAAAACTATAAGTCATGTAGAAATAGCTGGCTGGCTTTACAAAACATATAAAACTAAAGTCACACAATTACTCTGTTATCTTACAGAGATGTGTA